CTTTGCCCTTCCAATGTGTTATCTATTTCTGACAATTTAGTATTAATCTTCTGGATTTCTATCTGTAGATTTAGAATCATTTCTAATTTTTCATTGATTTTGTCATTTTGTTCTTGTATTTTCTTCCAAAATTCTTCTAAGGTTTTCTCTGTTTTCTTTGGTCTGTCTCTCAATCCTTTGAAGATATCTGAATATAATTCTTTTGAATTCCTTGTCAGAGAGTTCCAGTGCTGCTTCTTTCTCAGGGGTGTGTTCTGGGTCTATATCCTGGTCCCTTGTTTCTCCCGCTTCATCTTACGTCCTTGTGTGGACTGTGATGGTCTTTTGTCTCCGAGGCATCGTGGCGTTTTTGTATTTAGATCTCTGTTAGCCATTTGTGAAGAGCAGCCAAGGGTGATTCAGGCTCTTTTCGTCTATTTTTATCGTTGGCCCATTGATGAAGAAATAGGTAGTGGCTCTCGTTCATTAAGTGAAGTTGCAGGAGGTGTGGGTGTAGTTGTTCTTATGGGGACTGTTGCTGTCTCCCACTCACTTAGAGAAAAATTACAATTGAATAATGATCAAAAAACTAAAAGCATGTGGACAAAAAACACACTATGTAATCACACAGGAACAGTATCCAAAGAAAGAGAAAAAGAAGAAAAAAAAACCAAGAAAACCTACAATATCTGGGGATAGGGCATTAAGAAAAAAGGTAGAGGAGAATAATGAATTTTAAAAAATGGGAAAAATGCAAAAAGAAAAAAAGGAACGGGGTTAACCATGAGAAAAAAGAAGGCAGAAAAAAAAATTAAATTCAAAAAATAAATTTTTTTTTTCAACCAGGAACAGGGAAAAGAAGAAATGCTGAAAACTAAGACCTGGGAGGGGAAGAATAATAGTAAAAAAGACAAAAATATTAATAATAATAGTTGTTTTAAAACAGACAAATACAAGCAAACTAAGCACCAGAAAAAAGAAAGCAAAAAGAGAAAAAAAAATTGGTGGAGGACAGGTCAGGGCACTCAGGCTCCATCTGAGTACACAAACTGTGATGGAGTTTCTGTGGGCCCAGAAGGTAGGTGGGAGTGGAAGATGGCCACACCTCCGTTCACCAAGCGGCTGTGGGGTATAAGAGTAACAAGAGGAATGTGGCACCTTTTCAGTCTTGCCAGTCCAGAGTATCCTTGGGGTTGCTGGCAAGCAGAACCTGTTCTTAAGCCCCTGGAATCTGCGAGAGCAGTGTCTCTTTAAATATCCAAAATGTTGAAGCTGCTAGTGAACATTCAAAATGGCAGCTTCCTCCAGACAGGCAAAAGTCCACAGCTCAGCCCACGTTTCTCTTCACCTTCTCCATTTATTCCCCAGCCACCCAGTCAGTCCTCCGTGCAGTCACTGGCTAGCAGGGCTGATTTTTAGGTTAATTCTTAGGTCCTACCACCACTCGGGACTCTCCAAGCTGTCTGTGTCATGTCATCAGGATCGCTCAGAATCACTGCCAGACCACAGCTCTGTATGTCTCCTTTTTTGGTATTTTCATGAAGATTCTTCTGCTAGTTGGGGTTTAGTCCACTTCTATATCCTTACCTTCAAGGCTCAGAGGTCCAGGATTATCTTCTGTGTCTGTGTTAATTGGTTTCCCTTTTCTTTGTTGAAGAGTGTCTGTGCAGTCTTTCTGCCCAGTCCGCCATCTTACCGGAACTCCAAAACATATTATTTCTATGTAAGATTGTTTAGTTGTTTGTGTGTTTGTTTTGTTTTTAATATCAGCCAAACCAAACCAAACTCACTGCTGTGGAGTTGGATCTGACTCATAGCAACCTTTCCTTGGGTTTCCAAGACAGTATCACTACGGAAGTAGATTGCCCAGCCTTCCTTCTGAGGATTGGCTGGTGGGTTTGAACCACCAGCCTTCTGGTTATCAGTCAAATGCGTTAGCCACTATACCACCAGAGCTCCAAGAGGAAACTTTAAAACTGTTGTATTTTCTTCTGACTTTTACTCTCCAAGGTTAACCCAAATAAACTTGAGTATGATGGTCCTTTGAGGCAGTAGTGAAAATCTGAGTGACCTAAGCATAATCCGGGTTAGTTTATAGCACAATTAGACTTGGAAAATCCTTTCTTGTCCAAAATTATTCAATGTGGCTCTGATTGTTTTCCCAGTGTAAGGACACTGGGTCCTATAACCTTTCCCTTACTGTTTCTTCTAAGACTTTTTATGAGTTTAGTTGTCGCATTTAGATCCTTGATCTGTTTTGGTTTTTGTGTTTGGTGTAAGGCCTGAAGTGAATAAAAAGGTACAGTGTATCTAACAGAAGATTGTAATTGGGCAACTAAAGCTTCTGTCTGTATTCTATTTTTATAATTGATACTTAACCAAATTGTATTTATTTATTTATTAAGCATATGCCTCCTTGTAGCACTGAGCTGTGCTTTCAAAGAATAAGTGAAATCATAAATCATTGCCTTGTGTGGACCATGTAAATTTAAACATCTTTTACTTTGGATAGTAATCATTTTGTGTAACTTTAAAAGGAAATCTGTTTCTCTAACACAGGTGAAATACTTTGGACGTGATCCAGCTGATGGAAGAATGAGGCTTTCTCGTAAAGTGCTTCAGTCTCCAGCTACGGCTGTTGTCAAAACTCTGAATGACAGAAGCAATATTGTGATGAGAGAGCCTGTTTCACAGTCATCATCTAATTCTTCCCCATGATTCTTTCAAAAAATTCGAGTAATAATCAATAGAGCAAAATTTCAGAATTATCTTCTATTGTGTAGATTTATATATAGTATAAATATATGCCAATTCTTTGTACTAAAATACTCATTCACATGTGCCATTTTTCATTTCAGAGTAACCTATGTTCTCTTATCCTTATTTACAATGTAAATCAATAAACGTTATTAAAAGTAAACATTTATACATCTGCAAAAAGGGCAAGGAGGCCACATGTTCTGACCTCCTCTAATCCCACAAGAGGAAGACAGGATTACCAGCAGTAGCCCAAGGCCTATT